TAATACAATAAAATAAAATAATAAATTTGTCGGAGATTCAGTATTAAGTTCAATTCATAATCAAACTTAATCCAGAAACAGAGTTTCGATATTAAAGACATCCAGCCTTCGATTTTGTCATGTTTGTAGAGTGCATTGTACCTTTTTCCATTTACAAAAAATACAACGGTGCAGTAAAATCTGTTTCTGAATGATTTAACTGTAACAGAAGCTTTAAAGTAACGACATTTTAGTAACCAATAACATAATTGCATTAATAAATTATAAGAATAACGGATTCTCTTTTTGTATTTTCATTTTTCTCATCAAACAAGACACACAAGAGATTTAAAATATCTAAAGAAAAAAGTATTAATTTCATAATAATTAAAAATTCAATCAAGAAATTCAATCATTTCCATCTCTGAAGTACAAATGCTACGTGTTACATAAGTACTTTTTTTCTTTTTAATTAGGACATCATGTATATATATTTATATATGTATATGTTCTTAAATAAAATGTACACAGTTTAATTCAAAACATACATTTTTTCAGATATAATCTTTCAGGTGGTATGACTATAAATAACGTTTTTTTTTTTTTTAGTTTANTTTATTTATAATACTTTCATTCAATTATTATATCTACTTACTTGCATCATAATAAATATAATATCCGTACAGTATTCGAGCTATCCGTTAATTCTTAAAGCGCTGTTATTTCTTGGCAAAGCATTGTATGGGAGAAAACCAGTTGAAGTTCTTCAACCCGTTGAAGAAAATTAGCGCCTTGGGACGCGTAAGAAAGGTCACAGCGCATCGCGATGCCATACCCATGCTTTTTTCGTGTGATCGAACCTATGCGTCAACCATTGCTGTTCCAACAATTGGTATCTATCTTGACTCAGATACAAAGGTTTCCCCCGTCTACAATAACGTATTAAATAACATATTACGAACACAGTTCAATTAACGAAACAATGAAAAGTCAAGTTACGTACTTTAGATCTTTATCTTCCTCTTCGAAGTCGTCAAGATACAAAGATCCCCACAAACAAGCACGCCGACCTCTTATCACAACAATATAAGTTGACGTGACCACCAAATATATTCCAGTACCAGTTCCACATTGGACTGAATGCTAAAAAAGATCATATTAATTATTATATCAAATGCTACAAAGAAAGTCATATTAATTATTGCATTGAATACAAAGTTATGTAGAAAAATTATTTTTACAATACATACTTGGACAGCTTCACAGACGTTCTTCTGCTTACAGCAGCTTTGTTTCAAACAAACAATTGTGCCACATATCAGGCAAATACTAATCTCTCGTGGAACCGAGTTACACTGCCAACATTGTCGTTCATGGTAATACTAGAGCATTAGAGAAACATTGATTAAACAATCTCGCAAATATTAAATGCAGTTAAAGAATCTATGCAAATTGTCTAAAATACGTACCGAAAACAACTTTTCATATTCCCTTGGAAGACTGAGTAACTTGGGTGTTTGCCACGATATGTGTTGCTCCATTATCAGGCATCTCGCGATGAAGTTTCGATTTACAATCTCGAGGCACTGATCACACCATTGTCGGGGCACCGCAACACTAGCCTCACTGTTCTGCCAGTTCAAAGCTACCGTCGAATTGAATATATTCCAATCCATACCCTCCGATACTAATTCCAAATAATAAACTAATCTCACGAACTCAGTCTCTGGTGTACTAACTAGGGGTAAGGGTTGTTCATATAAATGGTAGCGAAGCAGTGCTGCTACTCGCAAGAATGGTAAGCACAGCGATTGTATCTGAAATAAAAGTAAAATGACGATAACAAAAATGAAATATCGACGGTTCTGCATTCTCTAAGTTAAAAATTACCGGCAATGTACGTACCTGTTGTTCAATCTTATGCATGTTCACCCTAACGCATGCTGGTGTCAATGGTTTGTGCACGTGGTCTGAACCATACAATAAAGTACCATTAAAGTATTCGATGACTCTGTACAGTATATTCTCTAAAGACGTGGAATTACGGTCCAAGGTCTGGTCTCTCCTTAAAATCGCGTTTCTTCCCGCTGGCGAGAGGCCACAACTGATTTGAAGTACCACTTGGTAGTACAACAAGTTGTAGAGAACTTTTACTACAGTAGAGAAGTACGCTGAAATACATTGAATATGTTGAACATTGATAGACAGACTGTTTACTTGATTTAACTTAAAACATTGACATGTATTGGTTTTAGAAACGTATGCCGATAATTCAATACATACTCTGATCTAAGTGGAGAGGAAGTAACAATATGAATTGTATTAGGAGAGCAGTTGGATGAAAGAGAAGCAATGGAACTTCTCTCTCGTGTGGCCTCACGGCAAGTGAAGCTACTGGTTCGGCAGGTATTCCAGCCAGTTGCTGCCAAATGGGATGCACTGGCCACGACGTCAATACTCTTGCATGCATCGCCAGAACATGAAGAAGTGCAACTAAAAATATAATGATAATGTAAGTAACACAACTATCGACAAACAGCATTTACTGTAAATGTGAAAAAAACGAAAAGATTTACCAATGCAGTCACGTTTTGGTGTTTGAGGTATTGTAGTAGGTGATTGAACGCATAATGATCCACCGCGTTGGATAAGTTCAATTTCGAAGTTAGTCCGAGCTATAGAAGTTACGAAAAAGAACAAGTTTTGGTGACTAGGAGATAAAGAAGAGAAATGTCCATCCTTGTTGCTTGAGCAGTTCGTCATGTCGTCCATGGATTTTACCATTGCTACAGACAAATTCGACCGAAGCTAAAAACAATATGAAATGTTATATATATACACGTTACATTCCGATGAAACAGCACCGAATCAGAAAACTTACAGGATTTTGTTGTACTTCTTTCAACAGATTATTTAACTCTAAGAGTATTGTAGCAGTCGATGCGTGATGTGACTGCACCACTGCTGCACACTCTCCCAATTGCGGGGAAAGTGGAAGGACAGAATTAGCTAATTGCCTGCAAAGCGGACACAGATATTCGCCTCTTTCTACAGCAATATTCTGTTGTCTTTGATGATTACGAAGAGACTGTAAATACGACTTTAAGCAGTCCAGATGTAAATGATGGCCGCACGTCTGAACATGGACACCGTCATCCTTGCACCAATCGACAGTCAACACCCATGTGTTCTGTAAAATATTAATAAACATGTACACACCTTGGTCTATCAATGTTTGTGAATATTACAAGTTAAGATCAAAATAATTACAAAAGCGAAAAGGTGGTTTATGTCGTCCATTCTACGGGCCCAATGTTCGCTACGAGTATCACCATGTTCTGTAGGCGGATCGTCATCTGAAGTGCGTAAAACTGGTCGTTCTGATTGCCGCCGTGCATGACTGAGAACGCTTGTCGACTAAATGAAAAGCATATAGTGAGACACCACACTAATATTACAATTAAAATCAACTAACAATTATAGCGTTTATTTATTACCTGAATTAATACAATGAGGCCCATTGGCGCATCCTCGCTGGTGGGAGTAGTTTGATTACAAATTACACAATCGTATTCTTTTTTATTCGTCAATTTGTTTGCATTGTCCTCTTCGATTCCATCCATACTAAATATTCCATCTCCTTCGTCTAAAAATTTGTAAGCAAATACCATAATTTAATTGATTATATTTCCTTTTTGAGGATTTTTATTTTATTGCTACATCATACCTGTTTTCAGTGCCTTCTCCATGAACTGCTTTTGTTTGTTGGCAAATTCGGCCATCACCTTCTGTTGCCTCTCCTTTGCTCTCCTTCGTCTTTCTTCTTTTTCGCGGCGTTCTTTCTCCCTTTGTTCATCCTCACAAGCCTGCGTAAGCGGCCATAACTTGTTTTTAGTTTCAATAATAGCCTCCTTGCACATAGGATCTAAGTTCGCTATTTTATTAAGTAGCTGTGAGATGAAGAACGGTCCATCACCGATCCTTGACTCCTTTGGTGAGGTTGCTGAACTACTACTAGCTTCGTTATCGGACATTGTACACTGCTCGAGACTGTAACTATCCGGTACACCCGATAATTGTGAGTGTAATTTTAATAATAAAGAAATTATGCTTTCTCCTATTTTTACTGCTTTCGGTTGTCCTCTCTGAAATGAAAAAAGATTAATTAAAATAAAATATAATCTTAAAACGATAATATGAATATAATTGAATTCGAATTTTTACCAAAGGTTCTCTTCGTTGCACATGCTTATGAGAATTTGATGTTGATGGAACAATTTCGACAGTCATACCAGGAGATGTATAAATTCTTATTTCATTACCAGCCATAACAGCGGGACGTTGAGGTGCTGGTGGCAATGCTGGTCGACCACCGACCATATCTATGTGCAGTGAATAAAAATTATCTCAAGAAGTAAGTCAATGTATAATTTTTTTTCTATTAACACATGCTTTTTGAATGCAGGCTAACATTAAATGTAAATATACTATCTTGCATTATTCAGTTGTTAGTATTTTAGTTATTAGTTATTTAGTTGTTAATTTTTTTGTTTGCATTGTGTAATGCATATAGTTATGTTGCACCAGAGAAAAAGCCCAGATGAAATCTGACATGTGCGACATCTAATATTAAGGATACAGCTATGGTTAAGTGGAGAAGACTAAGAACAACATACTGTTTGGTGAAGGAGGTGGTTCAAGGGCAAGGGTCATGGACCCTTCAATGGATGATGGCAAAGCTCTTTGCGGAGGTATTATATCATCTTCATTGTTAACATCTGATATAGCAACAATTCCATCTTCAGGTACAATAGTCATATGAACTTGGGCTACACATAATAAAAGAAGAAAGAAAACTATAATGTCATTACATATTGTACTACACAATATTAAAATCTAATTGACATTGGAATATTATTTCGAAATCAAATTGTATGTGCTGTGTCTTAATTATACAAATTTGTAGCTTGTGGTGGAACTGACTAATATATATGAGGATGTATAACATATATTTGATATACTAGAGATTCATTCTTAAAACATACGAACACATACCAAATTTTCTGTATAGTTTTACAGATTAAATAAAATTTGTTTCTCTTAGTGTATTCTATATGATTTATTTCATATAACATAAAGTCAAAGATCACTTACCATCTGTTGCTGGTAAGGCTGGTAAAGAAGGTGGTGATGGTAGACTTCGAGTTTCAAAGCATCTTTCATCTGCTCCATCATTTAACATACGCGAAGCTGCAACATCAGTCATTTCATCTTGAACATCATACTCTAGTTCGCCTAAAAGTAAAGAAGTTTAAAGAATTGAAAAAGGAAAATAATAAAGAGAATCATTTATTAACAATAACGCTTACTTTCAGAACTTTCTGACTCTGATTCTTGCATGTTCATTACTCGTGGTACCACAGTCCTCAAATTTTCAGACAAATTGTCAGTTGCATAAAAACTATCCAGATCCATGTCCTTTATCACACGAGATGTTCCATCACTGGTATAGTGACACAGACGATTCGTCTAATTAGAACAAAAGGCAAAGTAACGTGATCACGTAATTATAATTATTTCAATTAATTTTCATAGCGATCGTTTTTCTACAGATAGTTATGCCCTACATTGTATGTACTTACAGTTTTGTCAGGTATTTCAGCTGTAATTACTGCCATTTCTAATAGGTAAATAGTCAATGCCATTACGTGTTCTGATATGCTATGACCATATACAGTCTTGTAAAGGATTATTAAAATCGTGGCATGGAAAACTCTAGTACGTAATACAAGCCGTGGATCGTCGTAATCAAATGATACAGGAGCCGGATGTCTAAATGGTGGCCATGGTGTAGCACTATTTTTCAGTTTTCCAGATTGCTTCACACTGAAACATTTATAAGGATGTAAAAAATATCATTATGAAAATAGACATTTATAAAATAAGATTAAATAACAAGATAAACCTACTATTCAGTGAAACGATCCATTGATATCTGAAAATCTTTCCTGTGCACTGCTCTTAATAAAACATGTAGAGGATCAAATAATTCATCCCACACATGTGGTTTTGGACCATACATTCCCTGTTGCATATTTCCACTAGCTTCAAGATTGGGAGCCTTGTATTGTGCTATCTGTAAAATATATTATATGGTTATTCAAGAAATTTAATGAGCATATGTATAAATAATGCAAGTAAAGCATACATCAGCCAAAACAGATTCAAAGTCCCTATTTTGTGTAGTTCCACAACGCTCTGGCATTAACTCCATTAATTGACTGTGAGTCTTGTCTCCCATACATAGCAAGGTAACCATTTCTAAACCTGACATTTCAGTATCTGGTAAACCTGCATAAATATTGTGTAATTTAAAACATTTTCATATGTTAAGAAAAATAAATTAGATGAGATCTACAGTCCAATTATAAAATATAAAATTAGCAGTATGAAGACTTACCTAAGTTTGTTCGAATGTTTACTAAGGTAGCTAAGAATGTTAAACAGCTCTCTAACATAGGAGTATCTTTCTCTCCTTCTTTATATTCATTTTGACGTGTATGATACAAACAAAGACTCATCCATTCCTTCACATGAAACCTAAATGGAGAAGGTGATTACTTTCCATATTTTATTTATGAAATTAACACTGAAATAAGCATATGACCAAGTAATTACTTTTCAATAACAGTTTTCATAAAGACATCGGGTTGCAATTTGGTTGCACACACTTGCAGCAGATAGAGATCAGCATCCACCATTGAATTGCAAAAATTGCATTGTATATAAGTCATCGCTTGTCCTTTTATTTGAAGTCCATTACGAACCCATAAACCATTCCAGATTTCATAAAAAGCAACCTAAATAAAAAAATCATGGTTATTAGGGGATTAAAAAATTGTCAAAACAAAATTGTTTTTAGGAAACATAATTTTTATAAATACAAGCTGTGTTATTCCAACTTGTGGTTGTAAAAAGATCATCTCGTACAGCATGACTCATAAGTACCCTAACGGTACTTTCGAAAATTGATTCACGAGTTCAACAGAGCATGATAATTTTCGCTTCTGTTCCATTTAAGTACGGTATATAAGTACGATAGAACTCTCGATTATCCGACCTAAACAGAATGATATAAATATCCGGCTAATCGAACAATTATTTAGTAGTAGTGCAAGGTTTATTTTATTACATTTTATTTATTACAATGGAGTATTTTGATATTGTTGTTGCGGATAATCGAGGTTCTATCGCAATGTTTTCAATCCTTTACTATGCGATGAAATCGAATAAAATTAAACAAAATGGCAACAATAATGAGGAATGTCAGGATCGTTAGTGGAGCAGAAAAAGTAAATGTGAAAGGCAATTTTTAATATCAATAATATTTATGTGATAAGATAACGCGAGGATTAAAATTATTCATTTTCCCTCGAGAAGAAAGCATGTGCTCTGTAAACAATTGCTGTATGTAAAGCATACATATGTATCACGAAACATAATAAGAGTATCTGAAATATGCGGGCATTCTTTCACTCTGTGTAAAGCTGATTCGTAGGTTCATGGCAGTTCCCCCACTGAAGCGACCAATCCTGTCGCTGGAGGACATTACAGAACGCTGCGTTGTCAGCTTGTAGAATTCTGCCATCAATAGGCGAAGGAGAAGATCGTCAGTTTCCGACGAACTAAACGGGACCATACCACGCGAAACGTATCCTACATGTCTTTTGTTAGGATGGTGTTTTCTTTTGTATGAGTTATCCACAACCATTTGAAAAATTTATAAATGTTAGCAACGGAGACGCGATAAGAAGGGAAAACCGTTACGGATAGGGTTCGTTCTGTGACACATGTGCGAAGGCTTCTCGTGAAGCCTAAATTATATCTTTCTGAGAAGTTTCGATATTATCAGTGCTATTATGGTTGCGATGGGAATAAAAACCATCCTGGTTTGTTTGTTAATAAATTTAGGACCGCCCGTAAATAGCTTCGATGCCATGAGTATCATGGATATAAAGGATATGTTAAGATTCGGCCGCGAAACATTGGTAGATATTCTCGAATCGTGGGAGATGATACGCCATAAAGAACCCAACGATGAGGAGAACAGTTTTCCATTCGTTTATAGAATGGAGAAAGAACTGAGGAACCGCATATCATTGGTATCGAATAAAATCGATCTTTATCAAATGAAAATGGGAATGCATATCGACTCGGTTCTAGCTAAACTGTTGACCGATTTACCATTACAAGAAAACCTAAACAATAAATTACATTTGATGGATGGGTATACTGGAAAGATTAATGATTTATATGCTAATTTTATATACTACTCCAAATCGCCCATAAATTACGAGAAATTCACGTTGGAGGATTTTGCCGCAACATGTGTTTCCTCTAGGTCGGATGCTTTACCTGATATTTTAAAAAGTATTCACAGACTGTTAGTCCCCTCAAACGACCTAAGCGGCAGCATCCTCGTATTATTGGCGAAGCAGATGAACGTAAGTATTGCTAACTGTTTTAAAAAATTTGCATTCAGAAACTTTCTAAAAAAATGTATACTGCGATGTAAACTATAGAGGGGAAACAGAATTATTTCCAAAACAAAATAATTTGTTACCATTTGAAAGATTAATGACACAAGGTAATTTTACGCAATCAGGTGCGATTTTTTAAAAGAAATTAATTTCAATAAGTTTACATTCTTCTCGTGAAATATATTGTCCTGGTAGTCGCGTCATTCGGTATTCAGTCATTGGTAGTTGCAAGCTGCACCGGTATGTTAGTAACGAGAACCCTATCGCAATCATTAAGTATAACAAGGTATTAGGTATAGCGGAATATTACGACGATCAAGTGACATCCGACAGTGTGCACCTATTCAATTCGCAAACCTAATGGAGATGCCAATGTATAACGCAGAATTCGCAACGATAAGATCTTGCGGCGTTGTTCTCGGTATTGGGATATTTGGAAAGCAGAGAGATATTTAAAAGCATCGAAGCATTTTTATTGCGCCCGTAAATCTAGCTGTTATCACATTTTTGATAGTGAATAACGTGCGAAGAAGAACAATGCAAGCCGGAAGAACAATGGAAGAACAATACAAACCGAAAATAAAAATAAGAATCTGCGATCCAAACACGTTTGTTCCGTGGAAAAATAAATACACGCGACGTTCGTCGTTTCGCGAAATGATTTTTTCGTTTGAAAAAAATCGAATCCAATGAAACGCCTTTTGAATAAGTTACGTCTCTATTGCAACGAAGGGAGTCGCTGTACAGTGCATTTCTCAATGAGAGATACAATGCACTTTGTACGTACGATTTAACAACGAGAGAGGAGAGTAAGAATTGAAGAGGGGCACATGCGCAGAGATACATAACACCATTAAAAGCCTGAAACGATTCGAAGCCAAGAGGGGAGGCGCACGGAGTAAATGACGGTGGACTCCTGCAAAATCCTCAGTTGAATTCGAGCAACTGTGAAAATCGTTTCGTTGCGCTGTTTTTTTCTTTTCTGTCCTGTGTCAAAATCACGCTGCGAGATAATATTCTGAGAGACAGTCATCGAACGGACGTTTATGCAACGGAGCCTGTCGTGATAAAAAGAGCCAGATAAACCAAGATAGTGTTTACCTAACGAACCTTCGAATTGTAAACTAGTGTAAGAATGTTTACTGCGACAGTCTCTCCAGTTCCAATTTTCACTTATTACGATTGAAACTGTTCGAGCGATAGCATTGACCCGTCGTGACCTATATACTACGTATGTCTAGTTTTGTTTCCTAAACACTAGTACGAGATGTACACTCGAAAAAAGAAACGGTATTGGTATATAGTTTGAACATATTTCTTTAGTTTTACAGACACATTTTCTTGCCGAAAATATCGAAAATTTTCATTTTAGAAGATCAAATCGAAATCATTCAATGATTGTAAACGAATTATTAACAGAATTACTTGATACAGTTCGAACAAAAAGTAACTTAAATATCTGTTCTTATCGCTTCTTATAGCATTTTTGTCGATACAAATAATCTTATTCATCAGGGTTCGCAAAAAGTATTCGTTCCGTGGGCATTCTTCGAAGTTACGCGTTGAGTTGAAAAACAATTTGAATGAATCACAGAATTCATATTTGTTAACGAAAGGATACCAAACGTAATTCGACTTTGTGTAATAAGATTGCAGGGTATAGCGAGAAACCTTAGGCGGGTGTCTTGTTATGGCGCGATCGAATCTAGTTTCTTCCGATCTTTCAAATAATTTTCAGGAAAAACCTGAAAGATAGGCGATGACCTTGAGAAAGGAAGCCTGCTTTCTAGGTATTTCCACACGCGAAAGCGTGATATCGGGGAGTTTTCACAAGAAAAAAAAAAGTACTCCACAAAATGTTTATGAAATATTAAATCACATTGAATGATTTGACATGTCCGGAAGTTCTAATAATATCGGCCGGACATGACTCACTTTAACAGTAATTAGATACAATTTACGGAAAAAAGGCGCATTAACAAAGGACGCTAATCCTAGGTAGTAAAGCCGAGTCCCACGAAACTACACGGCGCTTGTCATCTTTCCGCGACCATAATCATTTCATGTAGTGACGTACTTGATTTTTAGCGTGATCGGCACATTCGACCCTTTACATCAAACGTGATTCACATGTGTAAAGCACTTACACAGAGGCACGCCGCTGCTGATCTAGTCAAATACTGTTTTATTCTCAAGGACATGATACCTTTTTTACAAACCAGGGAAGACTATACTTCTGATCGCGAAGAATCAATCGTGATAAATATTATAGTAACGAATTGGAACCAGAGAGAGAGGAGAGCTAGTATTATGTTGTAGAAAAAAAAATTTATAAAATCACTTGTCCATACGTAGGTATTGTACATTATGATGTACCGGAAGTCGACGTAATCAGAGAAAAGCGATACTCGAAAAGCGAACAAAAAATGAAAAAAATAAAAGCTGCTGTATATTTGCTTCTCCTACCGGTAATGTGGAGAGCAACATTTGGCTTGCAAAATGATGCTACAGCAATTGATGAGATGAGACATATGCTCTACGAGCACACGCAAGCATTAAACGATGATCTGCTTCGGATGAACCTTAATGGACTCGACGCGGAGAAGGTCCTTATAAAAAGGTTCAAAGAGTTCGGCGACGTGTTGGAGCGAAAGTATCCGGACTACGATGATAATTATGCGAACGATAATTACGATCGATTGAACTCCATTTGGTTGTGGGCCCGGACAAAAAATGAATTGAACGTGATCAAGGGTCTATACAATGTTTTCAGACAGATGCAACATGAAATAATCGATAAAAATCAGGAACTCGATTTGCAGAAGTTAGCGAACATTTCGGATGCTATTTTACATGATCCTAACTTCTCCATAGTAGATAAACTATCTCGTATTGCCGATTTTATAGTGCATGATAAGTTGTTCGTTTCGGCTTATCAGGTACAATATTTACAACAACTAAATCGATAAGTTCAATCAGAATTTAATATAGCTAATAATAATTGTGCACTAAGTGAGATCTTGATTAGGACGGTTGATGTTTGAGCTGACTTAATATAATATTTTGCGCAGGAGGCAGCATCGCAAATTTGCAGTGAAAATCAATCTCTCCAACAACTGCTCTACAACTTATATGCCACGGTTACTCTTGCAGAAATTCAAGGCTACAGCATGATTCAATTCTCCTACATGTTGCTGAGAATGTATAATCGAGGTATAATTCCGGGATCTGATTTAATTTTGAGAATACACATTTTCTAGATTAATAGACATGAAAAACACCTGAATAAATTCAATGCAGGTTCTAACTTCACCGAAGAAATGGAGCTTGTGAAGCAACAGTATGCGGTAAGAACGTCCGAAACTGTAAGAGCCGTGAAAACCGCCATGGCTTTTGCACCCAGAGAACTCTGGATGTGCGACTCAGGGAATCAAAAATCAAGTATGTCTTCTTTTTTGTTCGCAAGCGTTCGTACATCTAATTTTCAATTAAATGGTAAAATTCTTGCAGATAAAACGTACACACAACTAACACAACTATTTCAAGGATTCATCGTAAACGAAGTAGATCTGAATGCACAGAAATCTTGTAGAGAAAATTGCGCTTATTACAGTTACACGAAGGTACACGGATGCTATATGAATCAATATTGTGCCCAACAACCGAAATGTAACGGCAATGTAATAAATTGCGAGTTTGTCGATTCCGACATGTGGGTGTGTCCTGCGGTAATTTGAATTTCGTTTTTTTTTTATCGATTTATAACTGTGTAAAGAAAATTCTGAGTTTGATGCACGTTTAATATTTTTTTCTAGTCCAAGAACAGCAATCGACGATATGAATACGTGGAATACGAGAACGGTAAAATTTTTGGCAATAAGGGTACATGCAAAAACAGTTTAACCAAAGTCGACAGTTGGTGGCGTTGGATTTTCTGGCATTGCAGCTATTGTTTCTGTTACTGTGACAATCACAACGCAAAATCCGACCGGTATTTCAGTTTGCACGAAGTTACGTCCGACACGGCGAACAACAAGTAAATATATCGTTATAGATCGTACACTAAATATATGCTGATCCTTTATACAACTACACATTCTATCCTACAGAGTTGTAACGGGAATTGCATTGAAGAAAGTAAATCAGATAATACATATACAAATACAAGAAGGTCAACTATTAGAACGTGGTACCATCAATAAAACAACTGTTGCATGGAAGCCTATCAAACCATTTTCTATATTGGATAGAAATGTCAGCAATGGCGTTGACTATCATACTCTAGTATGGGAGAAGAGAGGCTTGGATCTGGACGATTTAATGGCAGATCAAAATCACCTTGTGACAGGTATATACATTATTCGAAGTTACCATTTCACGTATGAAATTACTAATCACGATATTCATCTTTCTAGGTCTTAAGTTTCGAACAATTGGATCTCGATTGAATCTAGAAATACAGGTGACACCGTTCAACTTCACGACAGGGGAATTGATGCAGCCATCTATAAACAGTTTCTGGATAAGCAACGATGCTACCGACAGGTAAGATTTGAGTTATCGTTCTTTTCTGACAATTTTGTATGTTCACTATTATTTGAATTCACAGGGCGGAATTGCAGTTGAAAAATCCTGATATACCAACGCGAATGCAACTGCCGTCATTGCCGGACTCGAAGAAAGATCAGTACGTGAATTTTGCGCCCAGCGATAGACAGATGGATGCTGCACAAAATACAATACCATTTATCGATATTCAACCGGTGGAATCGAAACCACCGGTTCCATTGGCGGGTGCCGGAGTTTTTCACAAAGGCAGATCGGGATCAGGAGGCTTTGTGGCTATGAAACTAATTACGTACGACTTCGCGCCGCATTTGACGGTTGATTTGCCACCGTCGCCGCCAGTTATTAATTCTCTCCCGTTAAGTGAAATAGCTGTAGCATGAAATCACTGATATCCATACAAACGACGTTCGTAGATATTTTTTATATGTTACTCCGATATTCGCGTGCTCTCCATTAAATCGTAATGAAACAATGGAATTTTTAATTCGTTTCGACATGCATTTATGTAATTTGAACGTTAATCATCTTCGTTCCCTGTTATTTCTTTCTACCATCAGTGTGCCATTCTAGCATGTATATCGTGCGTAAGAATTATTTACAATACTTTAAACACAATTGATAGTTTATACTATTGTTCGTTTCTTATAATTTGACGTTATATTTTAAAACTTCGAGTACCACATTTTGTTACCATCGAAGATTTTAAGTTTACATTGAAAAAGAAAGGTTGCGATCCGTTAATTTGTATTAATTGCATATTCTATTAAAAAATGATCTGAAGATTCTATGATTTAAAAATAAAAGAAAATAAAAATACAAAAGGTTGATTGAAGTTTTCTTTGTAATCAGACCACAGCATTTCGATATTTATGAGTTCATCATTTGTTTCCCAAAGTTTTAATGCGACGTTATAGAAGCATAGAAAATGAGAGAATGTTAAAATGTACTTACCTGCACACGCAGAGGGTGCATCATTAGAAGGTGTAACATGTCAGTAGGAGGTAGTAAATTATTAAGTACGGCTCCTTGTTGACGAACCGCTTGACACATAAACACTGCAAAATATCGATGTAGCGGAAGGTGAAACGACACCTGTGAGCTATCGCTCTGTAACAAAAATAAGAAAGATCATTAGAACACCGGTAAAACGAAAATAACATTCAATAGTATTGTCTAAGTTCTTACATCGTTTGGATGGGTGTAATTAACAGCATCTAACCAATCTTGTAGTGCCATGAGACAATAGCTGAGCACTCTTCGACTGAGTGGTGCACTCTCAGGTCCGCTCAAATGAGAGACCAAAGCCCACATTGGATATGCGCTGGCTTCCAATTCAGCACTGAATGCTGCATAATATGTATTCGGTTCGAATTCGATGTGTCCACGACATTCTCGCAGATTTACGTTCATTCCTACAACAAATTTAATCAATGACTTTGGGGAATCCTCTTTAATTGATGCATAAACATATACATTAAACGAGACATAATGATACCTTGAAACATAGATAGGAAATGAAACCACATTTCCAAAAGTGTATCGTCACTCATAAATCGATCAGCAACGGGCTTATGTGAAAGAACATTATTCAAATCTGACACCAAGGGCCAGTAACAATGTTCTTTCATTACTTGTCGTCCGCAGTCTACTACATAATGAAAATTTTTATCTGGATCTAAACAAAAGAAAGATATTTAATTCTACAGCACGGCGTTCCAATATTTGACCAGCATAAAATTTGCATACCATGTAAAGTATTCTGAATCAGAATTTTACTCATCATGTACTTTAAACTGATAACCATTACGTGCAATAAATTCAGTTGATCGACCATTCTCAATGCTAGACTTTCATTGCTGAAAAGCTAAAGTAAAAAACGTGAAGATATTATCATTGATTGTTTATTATGGATATTGTTTTAATGGGCAAACTTACCTGCACACTAACGTGGACTATTCTGTTACTTAAAGTATCAGGATCTGATGAGCGTTCGAGCATCATCGAAATTCTACTATAATGTAACACGAATGCACGAGTGAGTGCTTCCTTATAATCTGGATCTGGTAACATGTTCAGCAACAGACAAACTAATTGTTGTGGAAATTCATAAACAACTGTCCAAAACATTAATTCTTCCAAGAAAGTAGTATGCTCTAAATATTCTTGCAACGATGCACATTCTAAAAACAAATATAAATTATATAGCATTGTAATAGTAATACTTTATAAACTATAAAATCTTAAGAACTACATGGTCGAATGCTCAGAAATTTTTCAAAGTTATTCCATAGTTTACAAACTCTAGGCGCAATACCAAAATTATATTTTTACGTTGAGTATATATTTTTTTAATTAAAATATTACAAGATAAATTATTTATCTTGGTAGGGAAGACACCAATAAACATCGATTAAGGATCTTTTTGATTTTTATAAAATCCACATTGTTCCAATCATCTATGCCAGAAAGAAACAATTTTTAAACAGGTTTTTATTGAAGGTGAGATAAACCCAATATGTATTTCAATAAAAAAATATGAAAAAGAAGAAGTAAATAAATTAATTACAAAAATATATATAACGTTAGATGTATCATACTTTGAAAACAAATTCATGAAAATGATTAAATTTTGCAATGTTCACATGAAACTAACCCATTAATTATTGAAGCTTAGTAAAATGCATATGATTTACCTTTGTATTCATAAGGAGGTTCTGGGTTTGGCAAAGACTTTACTGCATTTTGATATATGTAATTGCTATCTTGACAATAAAGATCGTATTCTGGCTGGCCAGTTGAGACAGATGGATCCATGAAACATTTATATTTTTGTGGATTGGTAAGTGCTGATGTCATGACTTGTCTCATCAATGTACCCATTTTGTTAAAATCAAGGAGCATAGTTAAATATCCATCTGCATCTTTGATGGCATCTCTATAGTCTGGACCACGTAGTTTACTGCAATATAAGATAAAAGATAACATTATTACAAATGTGATATTCCATTTAAATTATTGGGAATATAAAAAAAGTCATAACAAACCAATTTTCACGTAAATGTTGGATAAGACGAAGGATAATTCTTGGCATCATTGCATCTGCCACACACAACAAATCTGTAGGAGCAGCCGATTTACAAACTGCAGCTTTTGGACCATGTCTGTCGCAGAATCTATGAGAAAAGATAACAGAATGCAATAATTTCGGTATTACAAAATATTTTTGTATAACTTGTAAATATTCTTACCCTTCTTCCTTCATAACAAATGGATCACCGCAATCACATGCTCCTCCAGCTTGACTAAGAAACATATTAAAGTCATGGCGAAAATGATTGCCTTTCTTAAAGCATTCCGTGCAGAGAGACATACATGGTGATATACTGCATGTACGACAACGATATGCCACAAAATTTGGTGTCCAAACGAGTCCACATGTTGTAGCATTATCGTACATCCTCACTGAAATGTTGATATCAAATTTGTTTTACATAGATAGAACCTGTATCATACTATATAATTGCTATGAACTGTGCATATATTTTTACTGAAATTTATTATTATTGTGTTATAAGTTTAGCATTTTATTAGATTTACTTTGTGGAGAATGAATTATATCATAACATCGAAACCAAATCCCATCGAAGTTCCTTTTTTAAACACTTTTACAAAACTTACACAATATTATGTACAATGTGTAAGACATTTGTTTTTATATGTTTTACATTTAATAGAATGCTATACAGTTCAAACATTTCTGAATGATATTCTAAACAATTTTACATAGTTCATTTCAAGCAATGCGTTGCATTTCATTTCCTATAAAAACAAGGAACACATGGCATGAGACACAATTGTGTCCTCAAACATTTGATCAAGATAACTAATTCTGTTTATAAATCAATCTGCGGCAGACAATAGGGAAATCTGTTTATTTTTCAAATAAGTTGGGAAGAAGTGTAAACGGTACCTGTATTAGCAAATTCATCTGGTGTATGTCCACCAGCCATCAACCACTTACACCAGTCGATGGTATCCCAATCATCAATGGCTTTGCCAGGATTCAATAGTATATCCAGCAACTCATTGAGATGCTGTGGATCACCAGTGTCAAGGGTTGGTTTGCTGCATTCTGCATAAATATAAGCAGCTGTGAAATGTTTGCCTTTGTTCATTAATACATGGGCCGAGGTCTTGGACGTCGAGGCCATCGTGAAATAGTTGACCTCGTACTGCGAGGATACCACTGGTCTCGATACGTGTTGCGGTATCCTCCGAGGACCGAGACGACGGGTACAGGAGCAATGAGTATTGGGGGATCAGATGATACCGACGTTAAATTTTCAGGAAGCCGACAGGTCAGCCGATCGTTGCCCAACGACTCGTAGTTTTTCGCGTGTCCCTCGTGCGAAAACTTCCGGGAAGCCTTTCAAGTAGAGGTGGCCCGCGAACCAGGGGATTCTCGACAATCTCCATATCAGTGAGCATCTCCCGTCAACTCTGTCTTCCTCATCAATTTTGACAGCATGACGAAAGCACCAAGGGACCGTTAACTTACACCACTCTCCGAAGCAACGGACGATTATCGACCTTCAGATTTCGTGTTTCGACAAGTACTCGGTACTTGCACAATAATCGTTGTTAATACAACACACATCCGCATTTACGGGACGGCAAAACCAATTGACCACCAATCGTTCGACCAATTGACCACAGTTTATATTCTTCTACGGTACGTCTTCTTCTTTCCGATCAAGGGTTTATCTATCTTATCGACGGAACAGTGACGAAGTATGGTGTACCTACCGCGACGTCGTACGAATCAGGCAACATAACGCGACATTACGGAGAATAGACGGAAGTTATTCTTCACTCTGATTAGTTGACAACTCACTGTTACGGTAGTGTTGCCTTCAACAGAGCACGAAAATTCGCTTGCTTTAATTCTATCTCTCTCGATTATGTTTTTTCATTTGTTCACTGATCTGTGTACTGTTGGATGCGCAATGAAACGGCGGGGATGCAGAACGTGACGTCGCAGAGCACCGCAAAGTAAGCCAAAACGCGACGTTGCGGAGAGGATATTGTACCAGATCTTTGTTTCCTATGTATGATCTCATAATTCATGAGGCGTATTTTGATCGAACCGTTATATATAGTAATCTTTTATTGTAATAATTGTAAATCCATAGATGTGAAACAAATTAAACGCTGTTGAAATATAAATGATTTAAATAAATGCGACTTTAAAGTATGTAACTTTATTTGTGTTGTGTATAGTATGTAATCCAATCGTATACGTCTTCTTGGACAAGTTGGATTATTGTTGAACAACATCTTCACATTCGCAATAAGCAAAGTAAAAAATAGAACAACTAATATTAGCAGATATTGCGTGTTAAATTAAATAATAAATAGTAACCGTCATTATATAGTTTAGTAGTTAGTTTAAATTCCAAGAACTTCAGCCAATAAACTTCAGGTACATTTAGACAGTGTAGTATGGTAACACTGTTTCCTAGCTTTTCTTTTTCACTCGGCTAATCGAGCGTGTACGTCGCTGTGATAAATAAAATTTTAAATCGCAGGTAATCTTCTTGTTTGCGGTACATCCGACGTAAATTATTTATATGGTAGAGATTATTTTTAACAGAGAATCATTTGGTGATAATATTTTACAAGAAATATCGTGACAAAAAATTTTTAACATTAAGGTGATTACTGGGTTAGGAACAGTGCGAGGTGTTTCTTGTTGCCATTGTTTTATCTGTTGAATTTTAAAGTATAGTATGCATCAATAATCTGTATATTATCTATAATACAATTATTAATAGTTTAACATTTATTCAAGAAGATATAATTGAATTGGTTAGATTTGGTTTACGTTAATTCGAGGTTATGTTTCGATGTCACAAAATAGAGGCAATCTGTGCAAAACAATTATGAATATGTTCATAAGCATAAGAAATCTCACGCGTCGTTTATTGTTTCAGCCATGGTACGTATGAACGTTCTTAGTGATGCTCTTAAATCCATTAACAACGCGGAAAAGCGTGGAAAGAGGCAGGTTCTCTTGAGGCCTTGCTCAAAAGTAATTATTAAATTTTTGACTGTCATGATGAGAAAAGGTAAGAATATACATCATTACTTTCCAAACTATTTACCCGTAATTTATCAAGTTTTATAAATACATTTTATTGTTTATATTACAGGCTATATTGGTGAATTTGAGATCGTCGATGATCATCGGAGTGGCAAAATTGTAGTAAATCTTAGCGGAAGATTAAACAAATGTGGTGTTATTTCACCCAGATTCGATGTCCCAATCAATGATATCGAAAAGTGGACTAATAACCTTTTACCATCACGTCAATTTGGGTATGTAATTAGATATTTGTACGGTTTCAATAATTTACAGATACATTAAAATGAATTACGTGTTACAGATACGTCGTCTTGACCACCAGCGGAGGAATTATGGATCACGAAGAAGCCAGGAGAAAACATCTGGGAGGAAAGATACTTGGCTTTTTCTTTTAATTTTTATTTAATTCAATAAAAATTTCATAAGACATAGTTGAAAGTGCATTTACTATACCTACGATCGCAGTAATTCTCTTATATATAATATAAACTATATAGTGGAGAGAGAGAGATAATTAATGTAACATAAGAGACAAGAAAAAGAATGGACTACTTGAGTTGTAGAATATCTTATAAGAGTTTTCAAAAAACCGCGATTTAAGAATTGAAAGTGGACAGAGTTCATGAACGTCTAACGATCGCGCGCAGTTTTCATTGTATTAATTCTGAACATGTAATTTTTACTATTACCTTTATAATACTTAGTAAAACTGTAGTAAAACCAATTATTTGTCATTATGTCTCTTAATGTCAAGGTTATAATTTCAAATAAGAGACTGCAACGAGTGCATACCGAACACGAGTGCACGAAATCGCAGGCCGTTTCTGATTGGTCGCCGTATCTCCCCGTTGATTGGTCGAATACTAGTGGAGCCGTTCAGCATGCGCGTGGTTGCAATTTCAACTTTATTCCTCGAGTGAACGCGGCCGATGACGGTCAGTCAACAAAACTTTATAATTCGAACGAAACTCGCGAACGGATCGGATTGCGCGTCGCGTCGTAAAAATTCCCGGCTCTCGCTAGAATATCATAAACAAAAGTTTCTCGACCGTGTTTCTCATTCTTTCACGACAAAACGTGCGAGCGAATGTTCTAAGAAATTTAACGGTGTTGCCAGGTGTTACCCAGGTGAATGTGACCGTTTAGTGCTGCGTTACCTGGGACTTACCTGAAGGGACAAATCCACGGAGGGATAGCATTGAAATTTGGAGGCCTGACCGTTCCCGTCTACACCGCGATCGACGACAAACAAGCCTTTCCCAATAATCGTAAATTCAAGTGCAGTGACAGTCGAGTCTCGGGATTTCGAACATACGCGATTTATCATTATCGACGATCGTCGCGTTGTGTACAGTGTGTCCTGTAGATATCTGAAATCCCTCCTTCGTACACCGTCGCGCGATTTCATTAAAAAATCATCTACTATCCGACGCGTTCGTGACAGTTCCTCCTGTAATTGTTGCCTCTGTCGCGTAACGTGTCGTCAGAATGATTCGCACGCGTTCTCGCGTAACCATGAGAAAGAAGTGCGGAATACGACGGTGAGAACCGTACGACGGGGATCATCCGGCGTCGCGTAAAATGTAATTTGACAATGGAAGTCTTTGGCCTCGACGCGTCGATCTGAGAAGAAACGAGCGAAGACCGATCGAGCGTATAGGAAATCGAATGGAAGGCTCGGCGCTGATGCTACTCGATCCCGATCGTCAGTATTTTCCCGAAAGGTGGAGGGACCGCGAGTGCAAGTAAGAGGAATGTTGTCTCGCAGGTGTAGGTCGTAATGGTCTTCCGTTACGCCTGCCGTAAGAAAACGCGATCGGGGCTGGGACTCGCCACGTGAACTCGACAATGCGGAGATCGCTTTTGAGAATTGTTTGTACTGCTCCGCGTGGCTCGGGACCCGCGGCGATTCGTGCATGACGTTTTCGCAGTGAAGTGCAATCGTGCCAGAGAGCGGTTAGGCAACAGAATTCGCCAACTACCATGGAGATACCGCGGAGAAATGCGTCGGTGGACCTGTCGACCTTCCTGAGCACGAGGACGCGGATTCTGTTTGCCGCTGTCTATTTCATCTGGATCGCTGGCAGCGCCTGCGCCACTGGTTAGTTTTCGCGCCCATTTTCATTTTATCGTCCTTCCATTTTCAACGGTCGCGAGCTATATCGTATAATCCTCGGTTCGCCTTACAAAATACTTCAGGATCTCGTTAAGAATTTTCACCGTGCAACGGCCGAATATAAATTGAAAAACCTTCTATTTCGTAGCAGTAATCGGAGGAGCACGGATATTATATGCGTAAGAAATATTAATTCAAAATTACGACCTTGTCAACGTATTTCAAGATCGTTAAAATCGTTCGAGGTAAATCCAGAATCCCTTAACCTTTTGAGCTCTGAATACTCCTGGCCGAAACGGTTCGTAGGGACGGAGCGCGGCTATCGCTGACCATCGCTGGGGGCGGAATAAGAATAATAATAATAAATTATACAATAAGTAATAAATTATACAAGACGATACTGCTGACTGAGTCGTTCTGAGTGCTTTGAGTCGCGAAAAGGTGACAGTGCAGGTAATTATTTTGAAATCTAATTGGTTAGAGAGTGGGACATAAAATCAGATTTCCGTTTCGGAAATTCCCGGGGATTTTTATGACCCTAATATTGCCCAACCGCTACCTAAGGAAGGCAAATTACTAACGAGTGCCCCTGTATTAATTTTACACGAAAATAACTGCATATTGATCGAAAAAATCGACAAACGCATATATGCGCCCTTAGTCCAGGCCGATGACTTAGAGAAAACACATAAATGCGGCCTTAGGCTACACGGATGACTTTCGCCAAACGCATATATATGCGTCCATGGAGCTCTAAGGGTTAAATCGAACAGGTATCGAATTTGTACGGTGTAAACGGCCGAATGTAAGTAGAAAGAAACATTTTCCATTTCGTAGAAGTAACTTTTGTTTTACCGAATGAACTTCTTACTTTCTAGACGATTGCGTTGTATGTAATTTGGTTAACGAGAGGACGGAGACGGTGCGAGATGAAATGAAGAGGTTGATTTTTTGGCCGAGTAGAGTGCACCGATGCACGAGCGATTCTCTACTATTTCGGTGATCAAAATTAGCAGGATCTAGACATGTCAGCGAGTATTCTCGCGACAGTGGACTGTCGCCGGCGGTTACTGAAATCCGTGCTACCATCGTACCATTTTTGCGCGACGGTAGTATACAGCCATGTTCGCGGCCCGCCGGTAATTGCCGTCGTTATTACGTGGAAACGGTATTCGCTTTGTCATGAAACCAGCACGGGAACAGGATACATGCTCTCGGCGTTAGAACGTGCCCGTGACAAAGACGAACGTTCGATGTTAGCATTGGAGTGACGGTTAGCTGACCGTTTCCTAAAACCGGTCAAGCTTAATACGCGCCGATTTAAACATCGGTAGGAACATCGCTGAGCAGAGCAAACAACGATATCTCGGCGCTCGGCCAAATCGCTTTTGCATATGTATGCACGTACATACATACACATGTGCAGGCTGTAAGCAAATGAACGGTTGCCCCAAAGCGCGCGCTTTCATTGTGTACATACATGTATGTATGTAGACCTAACGTTTCGACCGATCATTTCAATTACTCGACTAATCCGGGACAGAGAACGATTCTATCTAAACGGGACGAAAAACTTGCTGGAAGAATTAACCTTTTAGGTACGGCTGAATTCTGCGCGAGGCTATTTCTCTGGACGGCAGAGTCTGATATGTGCTGTACAGAGTGTCTGTATATTCTGTCTGTATATTGTTAAGATACAGTTATATTGTTAAGATAAATCTGTATATTGTAAATCGATGTGAAGACAAAAGAAGTGTGAAACAGTGCATATGAAGACGATTATTTGATTCAAACGATGAGCGAGTGAGCTACTAGAGCAAGCCACTATAGTGGCGCGTCGTTCAGAGAGATGACATCCGCGAAAGCCCCACTATAGTGGCGCGTCGTTCAAAGAGATGACATCCGCGAAAGCCCCACTATAGTGGCGCGTCGTTTAGAGAGATGACATCCGCGAAAGCCACTATAGTGGCGCGTCGTGCCTAAAAGGTTAAACGAGGCCCGGGCTCTTTGCAAGTCCGAATATCGCTACGGTCCAATATGATCGTGGTTGGTGATCTACTACGACGATAGCCGGCGACGTGGCCGCGTGTTCTCTGTTATCAAGTATAGTTTCGCTCAATTATTAGAGAGGTAATGTGCGGTTACTTGATTTATTACCGTGATATCGATGGGTCAGGGTGCGCCGGTGTCCTGGTAGCGTACACGCTGACACTTTATTGTGCACCTAGGTCAGGTCGTAACGTTAAGTGGCCGCGCGATAATGGACCGTAAGTTGTATCACGCGGTTGGGGCGGCTGGCTAAATAATATATCCCCGAAAATTTTAAATCGGGGGGAACGATCCGCTCGGAATATTTTCAAGGGAACTCGGAGTGCCGGCCACCCTGATTCGCGCGAAGATCGTCGTCGCAGAGATGGAAAAAAATTCATGAAAATCTCCCCTCCGGTAGCCGGGAGCGTGGCGTAGGAGCCACCCTAATTGAGATTTATTACGACGTTAATCCGTCCAATTGTGTGAACGAAGTTAAACCGTTGACCTCTTCGTCGACGATTGCAAAGGATACGTAGCACGTGCCGCGGCGTCGGCGTCGGCGTCGGTGTCGGTTCTCGCCGTACATTCTGCTAAATAATGTCCATCGCCCTCTTAGAAAAATCTGTTGTTCTGTAACCGCGTTTAATCTATCCGGGGACGCCGACACGCGCGCGCGCGTGTGTGTGTGCACCGTTCGTTCCCGGTCCGAAGATATTTGAAATAATAATGGGGTTGCGGTATGAACCCTTAACCCTTTGCGCTCGACTGGTGACCCCGAGGCACCGATAAAAACATGTTTATATCACATTCCAAGATAATTCTTACATCAAGAAAATGTAGATTTGAACAATTGTTAAAAGTATAAGTGTTGTATAAGTCAGAAGACTCGATTTCACGCGCATAAAATGCGCTCTGTCATGTAAAATAGAGACAGCGTAGGTCAGAAAAATCATTTTAGATTTACAGTCAAAATGGCTTCGAGTGCAAAGGGTTAAGTTCAGCTTTTCAACCCTTAAGCGCGGCAACTCGCTTGTTTGACGTAGCCTTCTACCAAGTTGTTACAATAAATCTGTCTTCCTGTTCTGGATTAAGCGATACAGGATTTCTGATTTCAAGACTCAATTATCGTAGCGTTGAATAATTATTATCAGATCTCAGGGGTGGCCCGTTAGGATAGATCTTTCTTTAATTGCAAGGCTGGTCGGTAGATAAATGAGCCCGAAATCCGGCGGACACCCAAAGAGAACGAAAACAGTGAACAAACGGTTTCGGTGTGGCCCATTTTCCAAGATTCGTTTCCGTATCTGTTCTTATCTGGCAATGGGCGGTATCTCAATGGGCCGCGGCGTTGTCTCAGGGAAATTTAATCAACGGTTCTCTGTTCCGGTTATAAAACCTCTCCCCTTCGGGACGGGTCTCGTGTCAACGAAACGAAACGAAACGAAACGAAATGAAACGAAAAGGAAAGAGAAATGGTCGACACCGACGCAGAGAAGAGAAGCTCATTATAATTGGTTTCTTCGTTCGGCTCGTGCTACCGCAACGTGCAATATAACAATGCGTGCATACGCCCGCCGAACGAAAGGGTCACGTGCATTGATACGCATGCAATTAAGACGGCACACACGGACGCACGCGCTTCAATAGTAATTATCGACAGTACACACAACAGCATGGGGCTCACGGACAACATGCGACCGACACGGGGCGTAAGTCACTCGAGGACGCGTCTTTTCGTTACTCATTGGCGGATTATAGTGGGTGGTCAGCGGTTTTCAGCCACTTCGTGCACGCGCAATTTTTTTTTTGCAGATTCCGCAGCCCTTTCCCTGGGCCATCATATTGTTTCATAAGCTTTAAGATATTTTCCTATGCAAATTTTGTGTCTTAATGCTTAGAATCTTCTTCGAACCAATACTACTTTTGTCTAGGCTGTACAATTTTTTTCTAGTTCATAGAATTTTTGTTCGGACGGTGCATTTTTTTTGTACATTCTGCAACCCTTCTTCTGAATTGTTAAATTAATTCATCGACGCTGGAATGTTTTCTTGGTCCATGCGAATTTTTTCTAGGCCGAGTAATTTTTTCTTAGCGACTGATATATTTATTTATTTATTATTTCGCTCTGAATTTTTTAGCGTAATTTTTCTCTCGAGTATTTCCGTTGTTGTCACGACCGGTTGAGGATCGCTGTAATAGATTACATTCATGACCGAATCGACGGAAATAACGGGGAGAAATATGCGAATGATGCATTATGTATACCGTTTATTTGATAATTGCTTGTACAATTTATCGGAACGTCATGTACATACAATAGCGAGGCCGCACGCTTTCGCGAACGAAAGGGAAACTTTATCGTGCGATTCCCGGAGTCCGCGTTTTTTTTTCCAGTTAACAAAAATCCGCGTAGCCAATTAGCGTGAAACGCTTCTATGGAAGTGCAATAATGTACTTAGGGGAATCAACCGAGCACAGACATTTTCATAAATTTCAATGAAAAGAATTATCCCTCCGTTAAAGCCTCCGGCGAGCAGAATTTTCGTAAAATTATCGCTTTTGTGTCTGCGGACAACAGTTCGACGACGATAAAAACGAGAAGCCGGTCGCGATTAAAAAAAGCTCGAGCAAGATTTTCCGCAGCGAGGGATTACTGCATACGAAAAATTGGCATGCATTTCGCATTCGTGTCCCGCGATGAGAAAGAGAGAGAGAGAGAGAGAGGGGAGAGAAATAGAGACACGGTAGCGTTCTTGCGTTTCCAGGTCGATGCTCGACATAATGTAGCCGGGTAAAGGGCATATGAATGCATTCTGGTGTGAAGGTAAATCGAGGAGTGATCCCGGGTGAAAAGCGCAAAGACAATGGGGACGTTTTCGGCGTTTAACTGCCGCCGGAAAATGAAAACTTTTTTCCCCGTTCGAACCCTACATCCCCGGAGCACCCTTCACTGC